CCCGCCGCGCACAGCCGCCCCCCGCGCCTCGCTGGGCCCAGCCGAGGCCGATCCCGCGCCCCGGCAGAGCCTGCGCGTCTACTCCGACCTGCACGCCTTTTATTACTCATGGTACGGCAGTCCGCGGCGCGAGGGCCACTACATTCACTGGGACCACGTCATGGTGCCGCACTGGGACCCCAAGATCTCGGCCAGCTACCCGCGTGGCCGCCACAGCCCTCCAGACGACTTGGGCTCCAGCTTCTACCCGGAGCTGGGGCCCTACAGCTCACGGGACCCCGATGTGCTACGAGAGCACATGACCCAGCTCAAAGAAGCCGCCATCGGTGAGTCCCCCTAGCCGGACTGTCCCCCAGCCTCACCCTTCCTTCCTGAACCTCAGCTCTTGATGTCCCTCCACAGGGGCCCTGGTCCCACTCTCCCGGCCAGCCTGACCTCTCACTCTTATCCCGGGGCCTACTGCACACCACTGCCCCTTCCTTCTAATTTCCACTGTACCTTCTGGGCCTGTCTTACCCCCAACAACCCTAGGGATCTTCCACAGGGTTGGAAGTAAGAAGAGCAGCTTTAAGTATGTTGCCCTTCCAGGTTTCAGGAGAGCGGGGATCCTGGTCCCTCAAGCCTGGGGTTCAAAGGAGAGCCGAGGGAGGCCTCTGCTTTCCCAGCAGGTGCAGGGGAGTGCAGCAGCTGTATGGCTGATCTAGCAGGCTTGAGGGTGGGCACACACATGACAAGGGCGGGAGCTTTCATCAAGTGCCCAGCCGGGGGTCCTGGAGAACCTCCTGCATTCTGCTGGCATGGGGAGGCTCACCCAGCTTAGATTTTTGTCACTGAATTCTGCTAGCTTTTAATGATACATCTTGTTATACCTCAAGATGGGTTGAGGGAGAGCTAGCTGCAAGGTCCAGATCCAGGCTTAGTGTCGAATGCCATAATCCTAGCACTTGGGAGGGTGAGGCAGAAAGATTCCCAGTTTGAAGCCAGCCAGGGTTACAGAGTGGGCCGGTATCTCCAAAATAAAAAATGAATGAATGAATGAATGAATGAACGGATAAGGAGGGACTAGGACACACAAAGATAAGGGGTGCGGGCCAGTCTGTCCAGGCTTGCTTTCTAGATGGGCAGTCAGTCAAGGCAAGTGCTCTCTCCCATGGGAAGCACGACGCTAGGACTTCTTCACAAGGCTTTTCTTCAGGTAGGACCCAAGAGGTAGGATTGTGGCTTCCAGGTGAGTGGGCACGGCCACCCTTTAAGCCTTTCTTTTGCTACCCGATGATGCGCTCACTCCTCAGCGGGTTCCCTTGGCTGCAGAACTTCAGCACTGCTGTCGTGGACAGCTCCAAGGCCAGCTAAGCTCTGGGCCCCAGGTCTGTCCCCAAGACCTAGCAGAATCCTGGCTCAGGGTTTTCAGGAATCATGCAGGTGGAGATGATTTCTGAGAAGAAAATACCTGCTGATGGGGGGGGGGGAGCGGGACGGGGCACACTGTGTACCACTGAAGGGGCTTCTGTATTGTTTAGGAGTCTTGGTTCTTTCCTGGTACCCACCTGGCATGGCTGATGATAACGGGGAGCCCTCAGATGATCTGGTCCCTGCCATTCTGGACACTGCCCATCAGTACAACATCCAGGTGAGTTCAAAAGGTCACACAAGTGCTCATTCTGGAGAATGCCCCTTCTCTGCCATCCAGTTAGTGCTGGGTGGCTGAGGCTGACAGGAACCTAAGTGTGGTATTGGGAGAGGGTCTAGCAGGCTGCACTGTGTTAACTGTTACCATTTTTAATTTTGAGAAAACTAAATAGGGGACAAATGGAAGACTACAAATATCTTTTTATATTTACTTGTATTTTTAAAGTTTTGTATCTGTGTGTGGATATGCACAGGTGTGTGCAGATGCCTGCGGAGGCCAGGGGCATTGGATCCCCATGGAGTTAGTTATGAGTCACGCGACATGGGTGCCGGGAACCCAGGTCCTTTGGAAGAGTAGCCAGTGCTCTTAACTGATGAGCCATCATCTCTCCATTTCTTAAGTAACATAGGTTAGGTTGGAGACACTTGGTCCTGGATCCTGGGCAGGCAAGAACCAAATGGACCTGCAGACGGAATTCTAGACTGCACTCTGTAGTGGAGGACTGTGCTAGGCCTCCGCAAGCAGGTTCCCCTTCGGAGTGGAAGGCTATGTGTGTGGCCGTTCTTCTCAAACACCTCAATAGAGGAAGTCAGTTCCTACATCCGGTAAAAGAAGAAAAACGACCGAGAATCCCCCTTGCCTTCCCAAGGTCACTGCTGGCAGGTTTAACAGATGGTGGCACATTTTCCATTGGCAGAGAATAGGCACATGACTCATGGTGTTCATGACTGGAGCTGACCGAGGTAGAAAACTGAGCACCATCCTGCGGTGACCCCAGAATGATTCTTGGATGCCCTGTTGTGGGACACAGACAAACTTCCACCCTTCATTTTGACCTGAAGGGCAGTGGCAGCCTTCCTTGTGCCCATCCTTGCCAGGCTTTCTCGAACTCGGCCCCTCCCTACAAGCCATGGCTGGGGGCATTAAGCTCTCTGTGTTGTGCTTCTCCTGAATAGTCACCTGATCTGCAACTCCTCTGTTTGACAGGTGGCCTTCCATATCCAACCTTACAAGGGCCGGGATGACATCACTGTCCATGACAACATCAAGTACATCATTGACACGTAAGATGGGACTCTAGATGGAAGTAGGGATAGAAGGGACGGAGGGCCAGGTCAGGCAAGACAGGGTGGGATATATGAATTCCCAGCAGCTGTTGAGGGTCCTGGGAACTGAGTTTCAGGTCCAGTTCTGGGGCCCTGAGTCTTGATCAAGTGTCTCCAACCTAACCTATGTTACTTAAGAAATGGAGAGATGATGGCTCATACATACTTGCAGTCACTGAAAAACTGTTCAGTGCCGACGCATACAGCTATTATCTTTAGCAAAGTTTCTACTTCATACTTATAGTCTAATGGTTGGTGGTGCAGCAGAGCTCCCGAACCAACAAGTGAGAAACCACAGCAATCTATAGTATGAAAAAAAACAATAAAAAGCAAAGTGAAGTTTTGTGTTAAGGATGTGCCCAAGAAGTTTTTGTTTTTCCTTTTTATGGTTCTGGAGATCAAACCCAGGGTCCTTTGTATGGGAAGCTTGAGCATGAGCAGGTATCTTATGTCCCAGCTCTCAAGGAATTACTTTAGAATGGTGGTGATATGTGCTTCTCTGAGAGGACTTGTCCTGTGTGCTGACATCTAGAGGCTGACTCTTGCTTTCCATGTGTGCATAAAGCGAGTTAGTGGCCACCTGTCAGCTGAGAGAGCTCTCACCAAGAACCAAACTTGTTAGGCACTTTGATTGTGGACGCCACAGTTCCCAGAACTGAGATATGAATATGGTTGTTAAGCTAAAAGGAATGAGTGAGCCTAGAATTCTGTTGTTTTTGAGGCAGGGTCTCATGTAGTTTAGGCTGGCCTTGAGCTCTTAGGAAGCTGCCCTGAACTCCTTCCTAGTCTTCTGTCCTTAGCATCTCAAGTGCTGAGGCCACATGCATGCACCATCATGTCTGAGGCCCTGGATTCAATCCCCAACAGGGTTTTTGAAGATTTTATTCTTTTATTTATATGTATGTGTGTGTCTGTATGTACCCAGAGGCCACAAGAGGAAGCTGGATTTACAGGCATGTTACAAGTTGCCTAATGAAAGTGCTGGGAACAGAACTATCCAGCACAATAGTTCTTTTAAAAAGTATATTTAAAAGTAATTTTAAATATCATATTCACTCTTCCTACTCTTCTCCCTAGCTCCTCCCAGATCCATCATGCATCCCTGTCTCCACACTGTTTTTTTTTAAAATAAGTCAGCTCAAGGCTAATAGGGTCTACTTACTGAGCTCCAGGCCACATAGTGAGACCCTGTCTCAAATAGTAAAATAATAATGGTAAGTTAGTTCTGCAAAGATCTGAAGAAAAGGAGAAGATTCTAGGCAGAGAGAATTGGCAGATGGAATGTCCTAAGATGGGGCAAGGTCACATAAAGGTTGGTAGAAAGGTCAGTTAGGGAATGGAGTCTGGTGAGTAGTGGCAGGAATGAAAATAGGTAAGTTCAGATCACACAGGGGCATCCTTACAGGTCACAGTAAGGAGTGGTCAGATCAGATTCTATAGCAAGGCACCAATTAGGAGATTGCTGCCCCAATCCAGACGAAGATGTGGTGGCCTGGCTTGGGAGAAGAGGCTTAGAGATGGATGACAGGTCAACGAGGGCTGGGAAGGGAGGCAGGTTAATACTTGAAGGTGTAAGTTCAACAAGTAACCTGCTGAATCCTAGACTGTGAGCACAGAAAAAAAGATCTCCCCCGTGGCTGATCTTTCGACTGTGCTGGCTTCTCACAACCAACTCAAGCCTCTCCCTCCTGCTCCTCAGGTATGGCTCCCATGGTGCATTTTACCGTTATAAGAACAGCATGGGCAAGAGCCTCCCACTCTTTTATGTCTACGACTCATATCTGACATCCCCTGAGGCCTGGGCCCACCTCCTGACACAAAACGGGCCCCACTCGATCCGCAACACTCCCTATGACGGGGTCTTTATAGCACTGCTGGTGGAGGAGGGCCACACCCATGATATCCTTGCAGCAGGATTCGATGGAATGTACACCTACTTTGCCTCCAATGGCTTCTCCTTTGGCTCCTCCCATCAGAACTGGAAAGCTGTGAAGAACTTCTGTGATACCAACAACCTGATGTTCATCCCTAGTGTGGGGCCTGGGTACATTGACACCAGCATCCGGCCCTGGAACAACCACAATACTCGGAACAGGGTCAACGGCAAGTACTATGAGACAGCCCTGCAGGCTGCCCTGACTGTGAGGCCTGAGATCGTCTCCATCACCTCTTTCAATGAGTGGCATGAGGGCACGCAGATCGAGAAGGCTGTTCCCAAGAAGACGCCAACCCGCCTCTATTTGGACTACCTGCCTCACCAGCCCGGCCTGTATCTAGAGCTGACCCGCCGCTGGGCAGAGCACTTCGTCAAGGAAAAGGAGCAGTGGCTGATGTGAGGGGCAGTACTCAAACCTCATTAGGTCACCAAGCTGGTTCAGCTGAGGATATAGACACACACTAGTCCCAAGTAGCAACTGGGTGCTTGTGGGTGGGCCAACTAACTCATGTAGAACAGAGCCTGGCCCTTGGACTGGTGGGCTGGGGTGATGAAGCAAGGCTTGATGGAGGCGGCTGGCAGGAGGCTGCACACGGCTCAGGGCAGCTCCACATCCTTTAGCTTGCAGCTGCGGCAGGCTATATAGTGGAGTTGCCAGCCACTGTGCTTAAAAGGGTCTCAGGGTTCTGAGCTAGCATGCACCTTACTTCCTTTGGACAGCCTACAAATTCTCAGGCACCTTCCCACATCTTGCTGAATACAGGGGACCGTATTCGGCACTTCTACAAGGGGACTTTGTTTAAGGTCCTTCCAGGAGATTCCTGTGCCCCGTTGTCAGGAAACTGCGCATCCACACTCATACTAAGCACCTTCCTTACTGTCGGGTACTGGGGCATCTGATCAAGGCTCCCTCCTGAAGCTTACAGGATCTTGCTTTGGGTGTAGCCATGGAGCTGGCACCTTGGCTGTTTTGCCCTTCTCTGCAGCTACACCCAGGCCTGGTGTTCAGCTATTTTCCTCCAAGAAAATACCACTGTGGTCCAGAGCCTTTCCCAGATGAACAGAGCTGCAGAGGACTAGGTCACTCTCCCTTCAGCTGTCTAGGCTGGGGAGGCCACCCACTAGGGCCATTTTCAGGGCTACTGTGATTTGTATTAAATAGAAGTATTTGCCAGTACACATTCCTCTTGCGGCCCTCATAACTGCTGACCTCTAGGTCAGTCTGTGACAAATTAGTGTATGGCTGGGCTGGCTACTTTTAGCACAATGGAGATGGGTTTGCTTAAATGACGAGTTTATGTACGATTTCTAGAGGGACCTTAACAAGCCAGGACTTATTTATAAACAAACTAATGCTAATTGCAAGGATCCTTGTTAAAGTAAGACCAATGGAACATTTTTCAGCAAGATTCTCAAAACACACTTGAAAATGTTCACCGAAACCACTACTGGTTTACAGGCTAAGGCTGAGCCACGACTCTGGAAAATGGTAGCAAGTGGGGGAGGATGAGGTGGAATACAAGTCATTTCAAGGACAACCAGCCCACTGACCGACTAAACCCTGCCTGACAGATAAGCAGGGCTGGCCACCCAGCCTGTAGCTTAGTTGGGAGGGCTGGATCTAAGCAGCGCTAATTTCATCTCCTGCACACAGAGCTTGGATGCAGCAAGGCCAACAGGAAGGAACAGGCATCCTCAAAGAGACTTGACTCAGATCTTCTGAAGGCTAATCTACATCAACAGCCATAATGCACATATACACCTTGACCTAAAATCCTACCCTAAGGAAATAGCTCAAAAGAAAAATAAACCATTGACAACTGTTTGCAGCAGCATTTTTTAATAATAAAGAAAAATACAGCTTAAATACTCAAAAATAATTATGTAGACTACTTGGCACACCTATGAACAAAGAGAAAAGGCTTCTGAGGAAACAGTGAAGCTAAATAGATTACACAAAGAACTATATGATTTATTTTATCAATAAATAAGAAAGTCACTGGCCGAAAACAGTCAAGATTTTCTTTTCCAGTATTATTTCACGTGGGACCCCCTAGGATAATTTCCCTAAAATGACCCCTCTCTGGTACCCAGGAAAGCTGTCTTGGGCTCCTTGACTTTCCTGCATTGGTCCTGAGACTTCTAGACTGCATTAGTGCTTCTAGCTGGCCTGACACGAAGTGCCACTGTCTCCAGAAACAACTCTTAGTACAGTCTAGTTCTACACTCAATTTACTGTCAACTTAAAAAGTGAGGCCTTAAAATAATAAGGCTGCTCTAAGAATGAATGTTCATACCTTCGTTCAATTTTTGGTTGATATATGATTCTACAAGGCTCAACCTGCAGCTTCTGGCCTACAGTGTTCAGAGAGATGTTCCCTAAAAAGCCAGGCTACCGGTGTAGCTCCAGGAGCCTCTGCCAATGAGGCCTTGCCAACCAGTTAGCAGACACATAGTATCCAGCATGGTCCTTGGGTCCCCCCAAGTTTCATGAACAGGACCCCTGCGAAGGAAGCAGCCCATATTTCTGTTGGAGGATGGCTGTAGTGGTTTCCAGGGCACTGAGGAAGACACAGAAGGCAGTTACAGTCTGCCCACTAATGATTACTATCCCATGCTCTGTTCATCAAACTTCATGAATCCTAAAAATCCAGCCATCTCAGCAAATTAAGTCCCAGCCCACTGCCCACCTCCATGTGGTGGCCCTCAGTGCCCCCAACCAAGGCAAGATGGGAATGAACTCTGCCCATCAAAGCTTCCGTTTCTCCAACCTCCTTCACATATCCCAGTGGCACAGAAAAGAACCTTACCAGCCCGGGCGAATAATGGCAAACTTTCCAGGCTCAGATAAGTCAACCACAGTAGAGCCGAGGCGGCACTCAGGGCTCTGACTATCCCCAATTGGCCCGCCATCAATGACCAAGGACAAGTGAGGCCAGAGGTCTTGGAACTCCTGAAAAAAGGGAAAAGAAGGGTATGGCCATATTGTCACCCTGCACACATGGCTCACATTTAAATCCAGGCATTTCCTCTAAGCAGAAGAGAAACCTCTTAGTTATGCTCAGCTGTGTCAAAGGAACAATTAACACCCAGTCTGCAGCCGGCTTAGGTAGGCACTCCAAGTTACATCTGTCAGAAAGAAAACCTTAATGTACCAAAAGGAAATCCTAATACTACAGGGGCTGTGGAGGCCTAGGTGGCACACTGGGTATGAGCCCAGAGATGGGCTTTAACCCTGGACTTTCTATCACATCTATGTGATGCATGAAATTGCTTCATCTAAGTTCCTAAAGGGAGAGGGCCAGCAGAGGTGACTAAGAGTCTTTCCAGCTCTAGCAGCCAGATCCTAGACCTCAATGGAAGTCAAGAGGGTGGACTTGGCAAACACACCCCCCGCAGTACTCAGTCCTTGGGTTGTACTGTTCAATGAGCTAGTCTTTCTGTCCTCAGTGAAGAGTCTCCAGTGCATTTAAGCCAGGGTCTTGGTGACAGGGGAATCATAAATACCGGTTACCAATAAAACAATGACTGTGCTGGCCCAGGGTTGTTAACAAGGTAAGAACTTACCCCTCTCCTCTGCTAACACCCCCACCCTGCTCCATACTGGTACAGCTACCAAGAGCAAATAAAGCAGGCACTACATTTCCAAGGCCCCCTCACTTAACTGTACCTAATTTAAATCTAACAACAGAGAGTAAAGTTTCTTTATGCTCATTTGTTCTAAACCACATAGCCAAGACAGGATTATGATGATTTTATCTCAGGCCTATTTGGCAAGCAGAGATAAGACAATAAGGTCAGGAGTCAAAAATTGGGTGAGGCCAGGTGCACTGTTATAGATCCAAAAATGGGGAGGCCTGAAGATCCTGAGTTCAAGAGCACCTTGAGTTACAGTATTAAGACCCTGCCCTGAGCCTTTAAGTCCAGCACTCAGGAAGCAGAAGCAGTTCAAAGCCAGTCTGTTCTATATAAGGAGTTCCAGGGCTACATAGTTAAGACCCTGTCTCAACTTCCCACCCCCCAGTCCCTGCCACACACACATATAAAAGAACTGGCAAAAAGTTGGGACTGTCACTTAATGGCTTTGTGACAGAGAAGTGAACTAATGTTTTAGTGTCCCAAGTTCTCAGCACTGTTCTCAAGTCCCTGACAGCTACAGCTACTCCCTAACAAGGCTGTCTTTACTTCCTATAATCCTTTTTCTTTCTTTTTTTAAAGACAGGGTCGTTCTAAGAAGTTCTAGAACTCGCTCTGTAGACCAGGCTGGCCTCGAACTCACAAGAGATTGCCTGCCTCTGCCCCCGAAGTGCTGGGATTAAAGGTGTGAGCCACCTCCCTCCCCCCCCCCAGCATCTCTTTAATTTATTACTATATATACAAAGAATACACCTGTTCTTCCCTGGCCTCTCAAGATAAAACATTCCAACACTTAAAAAAAAAAAAAGTTTCTGGGGGCTGGAGAGATGGCTCAGCAGTTAAGAGAACTGGTTGCTGTTCCAGAGGACCAAGGTTCAGTTCCCAGCACCCACAAGGCAGCTCACAACTGTCTGTAACTCCAGTTTTAATCTGACACCCTCAGATAGACATTCATGCAGGTAAAACACCAATGCACATAAAATAAAAATAATAATAATAAATTTGTTAAAAACAAGAAAGAAAGCCAGAGGCAGGCAGATTTCTGAGTTCGAAATCAACCTGGTCTACAGAGTGAGTCCCAGAACAGCCAGGGCTATGCAGAGAAACCTGTCATGAAAAAACAAACACACACACAAACCCCAGATTTTCTTGTCTTGGCCTCCTAGTGCTGGCATTACAAGTATGCCCCACCTGCCCCCTTCAAGACTCCTTCACTTGGATGCCCTCCTCTAAACCATGCCAAATAGGTAGCATTCTCACTGCTGAACCAAAGGCCCAAATTTCTGCCAGGCAATTCCAGGGCAGCGTCAGCCTTACTGGTTCTGAGGAAACAGTAGTTTAGCCTGCTGGGGCCAATTCTCACCTCAACACTCAGGGAGCTGGCCTGGGAGCTGAGATTGGCACTGGTGAGTGCAAGTGGTCCCCCAAACATTTGGGCCAAGTCCTGCATGAAGGCATGGTTGGGGATCCGGATGCCAACAAGCTGTGAAGGAAGAGGAAAAGGGAATGAATGGGAGGAAGGTTTCAAGGGCTGAAGAAGTCTGATTCAGACCACAGGGAAAGCCGAGTGACTCACAGGAGTAAAGGGGTTCAGGTCTTTGTTGAGCTCCTCGGAGCGCTGCATCACCAGGGTCACTGGTCCTGGCAACAGGTCCTCCAGGAGCTCCTTGGGTACGCTCACCTGGCAGTACCTGGAGGCAAAAGAGCACAAATCCAAGCCCTATCACCCTGGTGGACCTTTCCTGGACTGCAGGCAGAAGCATGAAAGGGGTCCTTTGGGTGTACTCCCAACCTCCTCTTCCTCGGAGCTCGGGCACAAGACAGGACTCCAGAGAAGGACCCCGGGCTTCAAGTCTACACTCCTGTCTTGGAGACAATCACCACAGGTTGGGACAACACAACCTCCAACCGTTTTATCATCTGGAAGACTCTCTAGTTTCTAAATCGTCACTGTGATGCCTTCTTCCCGCGGGCTTCCCCGCCGCACATCACCACGGCACCCAGAGAACAGTGCCACGCTGGCCTAATTCGGCGCTGCGACCAATGAGTGGCACTGTCGATCGGGGAGCCTGGCACGCGTTAAGCGCTCCCGACATATTTCCAGTTCCGGATTCCTCGGTGAGCCAGGACAAGCCCCTCCCGCCCTCGGCGCCTCAGTCTCCCAAGCCTGTCACCGGAAACCCCTCCCGCGGTGCCGCCCCCAGCGGGGCCGGGTCGGGGCGGCCTCACCTGTAGACGTCGGCCACGCGGCCCAGGCACACGGCCAGCGGCTTGGCCTCGCTGCGGCCCTTGAGGCGATACACGCAGCCCAGGGCCGCCGAGCAGCTCGCCGAGCAGGCCAGACCATACAGCGTGTCGGTCGGGACCGCCACCACGGCGCCGGCGCGCA